TGGAGTTTGAGTATGTATGAAGACATCTCACTTTCCTTCAATCTCCAAGGTTTTGTTGTCGGTAAGATACGCCTTCTCAAAATTTCCTGATTTGGAGACGAAATTTTGAAACAATACTTGATTTGGAGACGAATAAAACGATGCACCTGAATCCAAAATCCAAGATTCAATCGGGTTGTCCACACTAAGGTTTAGAGCATCCTCAGTATCTTCTACTAACTATATGGAAGAATTGTCATCTTTAAATTTGTAATTGAACAGGCTCCGCATCAAATACATGTTCATAGTCGATAGTTTTTCGTACATATTCGACAGCGCCTTCAATAGGTCTAATGTCGTCTTCTCCTTTTGATGTTGAACGCCACGTTTCTGAACAGTGTCAACCGGATCAACCCTAAGGTCTGGCGATCCTTGAGCTTCCACTGCTCCATGGTCATAGTAGCCGGCTTCACCCCAATAGGGATTTGTGAAGACCTTTCTGGTACGGACAATCTTCAATCTACATCTTCCAAAAATCGAAATTGGATCCATCAAACTTTTCAATTTCAATATTTGAATTTTTCATCTTCACAAATTGTGGTAAATTTCGCCTAGCTCTGATACCAATTGTTAGGATCCACATCCACACCAACGGAGACACTCGATCAAGATGAATAGAAAGAACAGGGGAGAGAAAATTCAAAATATAAAATACAAATGAGGGAGAAAGTACATTTTAGAATCACTGGTCAATAGGTATATATAAGGTTTCAATTTACTAGATATAGTTTTAACATTTTTAACCTCATATATAATCAACCAAATCTTTACCAAATATTTGCTATATATTTACCATTATCTTTATGAAATATTTACCCATATATTTCTACTAGATCCTATCTTTCGTAAATGTTAATTACTACATGAGAACCCTTTCTACAATTGGCCTCGATTTACACATGGCTTCCAATGGTTGAGCTCTAGGCATGGTGAGCCCTACGCCCTCAGTCATGTCAATCACTTCACTACTCACTCTCTTCCATTCAAAGCATTGAATCAATGATGCCAAAGACAAACCAACCACCCGATGGGCCATTCCCACACCAGGGCAAGCTCTCCTCTCCAAGCCGAAAGGAATTAGCTTATACAAATTATCTACCATGGTAATTTTATATCTTTCAGGGTTAATTTGCATCTTCCCAAATATTTGGATCTCTATGTATAGCCCAAGCGTTAATCAAGACGATTGTATCTTGGGGTTTCGTAGCCCGCTATCGAGCAATTTTTAGATGCATAATGTGACACGAGTAAAGGAGCGGCAGGGTTTAATCGTAGAGTCTCAGAGATTACTCCTTCCAAATAACTCAATTTCGATGAATCGGATTCCTCAACCAATCTCTCTTGTTGAATAACCGAGTCCAATTCAATCCTAGCCTTCTTTAACACATTCGGATTGTTAAGCAAATGAGATAGTGCCCATTCTATAGTCACTGCTATTGTGTCCGTGCCTGCAAGCAATATTACCTGCACGAATCATGAGAGAAGAACCAATTATATTAGCATATGAATTTTGTTATAGCAAAAGTAGAAGCACGATCACACTCACGCACCCACAAACAGAAATTAAACAAAGAGACATAAATATTTATGTGATTCAAAGAAATTCTCTTACATTCATGAGTAATAACCAATTTCAATAATAAAAGTGTTCAAGGCCTTTGATAACTTGGTCACTCATGAAATCTAAGTTGGGGATTGTTGCAAAGAAAGTAAATGATCAATCATAGTATTTCTTCCTTCTTCCTTTTGATTCCTATGCTCATCAATCAACCCTTGCAAGAATTCATCATTCCTCCTCTTCTCATAATGAGTAATATCTATCCAATTCAATAAGGGAATAAAATTTCTTGAATCAAAACTCCCACATTTTTGCATAACTTGCTTCACAATATCTCTAAATTTCCTCGCTTGTTCCAAATCCTACACACCCTCTCCATAAAACCTCTTCCCCATCACCATTCTCATCACAACATTTGAAGACAACTCAGAAATCATGGATCCCATCAAAGCTATCACTTGAAATGCGACACAATTTACCAAGTAGGTGTTTGATTTCATCCCTCCTAGTCTCCAAGAACATATTAAGGCGAGTGGCTGAGAATATCTCTATGGTGCTAATTCGGCGGAGTTCGCGCCAACGATCGCCATATGGGGACACCGAAAAGATCGTATTGTTGTAAGTCAAGTGCTTGATAATGTTCGAGCTTGGTTGATTTGCTAGAATGATATCATTCATGGTGAAGCATTCTTTAACCGCTGAAGGAGACGAGACAATGACAACGAGTTGAGAGCCTAAGCGAAGATAGAAGACATGGCCATACTTTTTAGAAAGCTTTTGAAGGGTTTGATGGACGGGACGCTTTAGGAGATAGAGATGGTCTATAATTGGGAGGGAAAAAGGGGGACTTGGGGGAAGCTTTGTGGAGGGTCGGAGTAGAAATATGAGAGCTGATATGAATGCCATTAGAGGGAGACAGAGATAAAGCATAAGGTTTTCCGTGTTTTTATTTTTTTTAAGCTTTGTTGGTTATATCTCATTTCAACTATGAATATATAGAGTAAATGAAGAGGAGAAAATTGAGTTTCGTGAAAACTTAGCTTGACGAATTTTATTAGGACCGATATGTGTGTTGCCGTTTATTTCATCTCGTAATATATTATTACCAACTTGAAGTTTCGAATATCTCATTTATTGGCACCGAATTTTTTCGAAGTTTACCATCTTATGTGTTTAAAAATATATATCTAAGATTGAATTCGAAACATGAGAATTTAATTGACATTTTAAATCTTAATATATCCTTTCAAATTAAATTTTATTTTACTCAAATTGAGTTAGGAAGAAGTAATAATTGAATTAACTATTTAGTGTAGTCTCTATTTAATTTTTTTTTTGGAAGATATATGTTTTAATCCGTTGAAAACTAATATATTATATTTTATTTGTAATATTAAATCTTGAAATAATGTTTAATGATTCATTTTAGCCATGCCTTTTATTTTATTTTTTTTAATTTAACTTTTTGTGTGTGGTTCATCCCATTTTCTCTTTGTGAAGGGACTAGATATTCTATTGTTTGAGCTTACTTTTTCTTATGTTGCCAACCCTAGCCAACTCACTTTAATTGCTACAAAATAGCATTCAAAAATAGCTTTTCAAATAAAAAAATTATATATTAAAAAAAGTAAAAAAAAAAAAAAAATCAATAGATATGTGAGATTGATGTCTTGATTTAATTTTTTGATACATAAACTGATTTCTTACAACTTTCATGAAGATCAAAAGGAGGAGTCTCGGCATACATTTAAGAAACAGTGAAGATGTAATTTTTGTCAATTTTGAGTGAGATCAACTTTTCTTATAGTTGATTAAAAATTACATGAAAAAATGTGCAGACAAATTAAAATTTTACGACTTTCATGAAGAAACCATGTTGATTTGAGTTTCGATTGAAAAGTTATGAAAATACTAAAAAAAAATAGGTTCTAAGCTGAAACTCATCGATTTCCAGAAAAATAGAATTTGCAAGCAACTACCTGAGGAACACGTGTCATGGAAATTGGTGGTGAGCGTGTCTAGCTAATTAGTGGACACGTGGCATGAGAAGAGAGGGCCACACGTCTATCATCCTACAGTAACACGTGTTTCAGGTAACCTGACCAGTTCAACCTATGTTTTAGTTGATCGATAGAAATATCACCCCAACCAAGCATGTGTTGAGTGAACCAAGTTAAGAATACGGTGTTAGAGCTAGAATGATTTCCATGTTGGCCGAGGTCAGTACATCTCTAGTAGACTGAACATCCTAGGATTGCGAGTAGCGATCATAAGTCTAGACCTAAGTATACCCAGAGGATTGTCCGAGAAGCTAACCCCGAGTAACTTGAAAATGTGAGATGAGATCTAAACTGCCTAGACATCCCAAGAGTCTAGCAAATCTCGATGATACCTAAAGAAATTTTGAAAAATTATGAGGGTTAGAATAAGTTTCATGAGAGCCTAAAGATTATGATGTAACTGTCTATGGTTTTTTAATGGAATGACGTGCTAGGTGCTAGGATATGTGGTAACCAAAATTTTCTGTCTTATGATAGATTATGTCTCCAAAGAGAAAGGCAATGACTAACGGATCGGCGCCCAAGAGGGGCAGGAGAAGGGCCACGATCAATATCGCTGCCCAAACGCCTAAGGTTAAACAAAACGGACCACAGGAAGCTGATAGAGAGTGGTCATAGAAGGCCAACTGAATGAGGCCTCATGCACTAGTGCCTAGGAGAGGCAGAAGGAGGGTTACAGCTATGTCACCTGCGTTGTGACCTTTTGGTATTGATAGGGTGAAATTTCATATATGAGAGGGCGAGGTAGCTCTAAAGCAGTCCAAGAGTTACAAGACGATGTTGTTCAAGTTTATTATAAACAGAGAAATGAGATTGGGATACATTTATAAAATGAAACATAAAAGACTCGAAATACAATAGACAAATTGACGGAATGGCTCTCACTGTGACCATGCAACTCTCGAATGCTCCCCCATCTCGACTAGTAGCCTACTAACACCTAACCACACTACTCTGTGGCTACAGACACACTAGATACCCAAGGTCGATGCCCTCTGTGGCTGCAGAGCTCCCAAGCACCCCTCGCCTTGACTAGTGGCATCAGTCACTTGAAAAAGAAATGGAGGAGTGTGAGTATAAATTTATACGTAATAACCAACCTACTTATTGCACCCTCAAACTAGCTGATGAAGACACTCACGCATGAGCACGTGGGCAACACATAGGCGGTGCTTGTCTTCCTTCAAACCCCAGTGAGCACAACATTTACGTTTGATTTTTATATAGTCAACATATTGCGTTTGTAGATTGACGTCTACAAGGGAGAAGTTTTCACACCCTTATAATGAATGCTTAAATTTGAGCAATAAAAACAATAATGCCAATGACTTGTGATGTGATCACGATTTAAACACTACAAAATTTTTGGACATATAACCTCTCAAGAGTTCGTAAACCTCAAGAACAATGAAATAACTAATACAAGAATAACCAAGAACAATGAAATAACTAATACAAGAATAACCATGAAAATTTGGGTTGACAATCACATTCTTTTCGGATATTGTGATAGAACTGCTTCGTTAAAAATGGTTTTCATGATCGGACGTGGTTTACACTTTGCTACCAATCGTTGAGCTTTGGGCATAGTAACCCCTTCACCTTCACTCATATCAACCAACGAGCTGCCCTCTCTTTCCCACTCAAAGCATTGAATCAACATTCCCAAAGTTAAGGTAGCCATTCGTTGAGCTATTCCTACTCCAGGGCAGGCTCTCCTCCCCAACCCAAATGGTAGAAATTTATATGAGTCAATTCCAATAGGGTTTGCATGCCTTTCAGGCTTAAAACGGGTGGCATCTTCCCAAAGGCTTGGATCTCTATGAATAGCCCAAGCATTAATCAATACAATCGTCTCACGTGGTACATCATACCCTCCAATTTTAGTGTCTTTAGAAGCGCAATGTGGCACTAGCAAAGGAGCTGCTGGGGTCAACCTTAGAGTCTCCGAAATTATTCCTTGCAGGTAGTTCAAACTCGACAAATCGGCTTCGTTGACTAGACGCTCTTGTCCAATGGAACTGTCTATCTCGACTTTTGCTTTCTCCAAAACCTCTGGATTGTTGAGTAGATGTGAGAGCGCCCATTCTAAGGTTACCGCTGTTGTGTCAATCCCTGCTATTAATGTGATCTGCGAGAATCAAACACTTTTTAGCCATGTCAATAGAATTCTCAAATGTCGAATAAAGAAGTTGTGAGTCTCGAAAGTGTAGTCAAAAGTGACTCAAGTGTCGAATAAAGAGTGTACTTTGTGCGAGGACTCGAGAGAAGGAGTCGAGCCTTGATTAAGAGGAGGTTGTTTGTAACGACCCAAATCCACTGCTAACAAATATTGTCCACTTTGGATTTTCCCTTTCGGGTTCCCCTCAAGGCTTTAAAACGCGTTTGCTAGGGGAGGGTTTCCACACCCTTAAAAAGGGTGTTTTGTTCTTCTCCCCAACCAATGTGGGACATCACAATCCACCCTCCTTCAGGGCCCAGCGTCCTCACTGGCACTCGTTCCTTTCTCCAATCGATGTGGAACCCCCTCCAAATCCACCCCTCTTTGGGGCCCAGCGTCCTTACTAGCACACCGCCTCGTGTCTATCACCCTTCGGGGAACAGCAAGAAGGCTGACACATCGTCTGGTGTCTAGTTTTGATACCATTTGTAACAACCCAGATCCACCGCTAACAAATATTGTACTCTTTGAACTTTCCCTTTCGAGTTTTCCCTTAAGGTTTTAAAACGCGTCTGCTAGGGGAAGATTTCCACACCCTTATAAAGGTGTTTTGTTCTCCTTTGCTCTTAGCTGGTCGGGTTGCCGGCCCGCAGACCCGTTTCGTTGCCATAGTTTACCCAACCACTATGGGACATCACACTGTTCGAGGACTCCATAGACCTCAACGGAGGCTCTATAGTGTACTTGTTCGAGAGAGAGTCCCATGTTGGTTAATTTAGAGGATGATCATGGATTTATAAGTAAGGAATACAACTCCATTAGAATGAAGCGTTCTTAAGAAACAAAAAGTAAAGCCACGTTATCATAGGAGAAAGAGATGAATATACATACTTGTATTAGGCCTTTGATAATTTGGTCGGTATGATTTTGAGGCTCAGTTTTTTGCAAATGAAGTAAGCGATCAATCATAGTGTTTCCTGCACCCTTTTGATATCTTATCCCATCAACTAATTCTTGAAGAAGTTCATCCATTTTCCGTCCAAGCTTCATAATCTTCTTCTCCAAACCTGTGGGATCAATCCAATTCAATATTGGTATGAAGTCTCCTGGATTTGTTGTCCCACCAACCGCCATAATCTTTGTCACGAGCTCTCTAAATTCCCTCGATCGTCCCTTATCGTGTTCGTAAGGCTTATTCCCCGCCACCATTCTCATAATAACATTGTACATAAGATCTAAGAACATGGTCTCGGGCTCGACTAGAGTGAATTCTTCTGACGAACTCCCACGTAATCTAAGCATCAAGCGTTTAACTTCGTCCTCTCGAATTCCCAAGAATAGATTTAGCCGACTCGTAGAGAAAATCTCGAGGGCACCGATTCGACGAAGGTTTCGCCAGTGATCGCCATAAGGGGCGACGGCCATGGTGGTATGGTTGTATGCTAAGTGCTTTCCGGTGCCCAACAATGGGCGATTTGCAAGAACAATATCGTTCTTTGTAAAGCATTCTTGTACGACCGAAGGCGATGATACAACTACAACGATCCGTGAACCGAATCGGAGGGAGAAGACATGTCCATAGGTTTTGGAGAGGTTGTGAAGGATTCGATGGAGAGGGTGTCTGATGAGATGGAGATGACCAATAATTGGAAGAGAAAAAAATGGGGTTGGTGGAAGGTTTTGGCGAGGTGGTCGAAGAAGAAAGATGAAGGCAAGAAAGATAGATAGCATAGAGAGGGAAATGGAAAGGAAGATAATATCCATGGCTGCCGCTTTGGCTTCGGCTTCGGCTTCTCCTTCTTGGCTATCTTTATATCCAATGGGACTCTTGTTTTGAAAATCTATCTTAATGGATTCAATGTGAACGTAGAAAAGTTGATGCAGCCAAGTTTGATTTGATTCCATTAGTCAAACTTTAAAATTTTATGATTTTATTAGACTTAAAATACAAATTTATATTTTATAGATAAATTAAAATTTTAAAATCTCAAATATATTTAACCCATTTTAAAAGTTCGAGAATGTATTGAAGGTTGAGTATTGTTGTAGTCCTACGTTAATTTATTAAAGATTAAATGAATGATCATGAGTATATAAATAATTTGCAATTTTTTTTTTTAATTTTTTTATAAGAAAATCAAAGGTAAAGCTTTAAAAATATACGTTGGACAATATCATATTATTGTGAAAGTTTGAAGTTACGCGTCTCAACGTGTAGTAATAGTAAAATCTATGGTAGAAAAAGAGTCGTCAGAGAAGTCACTTGATAATGTACATCAAAAATTAAATAAATTAAAAATTATATTCTCTTTTTGAGTCAAAGATTAAATTAATATGGCAAAGAAAAAAAATAAAGAAGACTAAAAGTAAGGTTACGTGTAATTATTAGTAATCTCATATGGGAAAATAGATATCTTAGCTTAGACGGATCGTTCAAGTAATAAATTTTTTTGAAGGATAACTTGAATAGTTGGTCTCTCATTAATAATAAATAGTGTGCTTCAATCGAGGATCAAATCAACATTTGGTAGTCATGTTAATAGAATTTTCAAGTATCAAACAAAGAGGCTGTGAGCCTCGAAGGTACAATCATGATGACTCAGGTATCGAATATAGAAGTTGTGAGCTTGCTTAAAGGGAGGCTCAGTGGTGTACATTGTTTGAGGGCTCTAAAGAAGAGAGTCGTCAAGAGAGGCTGAGAAGTAGTCCTCAAAGAAGGTTCAATGGTGTGATTTGTTTGAGAGAAAGATGGTTGAGGATTGTTTGAGTTCCACCTTCGATTATTAAGAGGAAGATCATGAGTATATAAGTAAGGGATACTATCCTCATTCATACGAGGCCTTTTGGAGAAACCAAAAGCTAAGTCACGAGAGTTTATGCTTAAAGTGGACAATTTCATACAAGCTACAAGCATTGAGGTTCATTGTTTGTATTAGTAGTATCAGGGTTATGATGCAAAATATTACATATTAATTTGAACCTTTCAAATTTTTCTTTCAATTAAATTGAATCTTTTTGTGTTACTATGAACTAGTAAAGTGATCTTATGAACTTGCATGTTATAAGTTCTAATGATATAAAATTAATTCATTAAATATTTAATTAATCATTTTTCATTCATTAACTATAGGTTGTTCCATTATAGACATAGAATTTCAATCTTATGCACGGTAAAACAAGTTGCACCCATTTATATAAATATTACAAACAAGTTGATTCTTTACAAGCTATTCCTAATTACAATTAGGTCAAAAGTTCGTTTTACCTCTATAATTACATCTTCCACCTTTAAGTACAACTAAATATCTGATGAACAATTTGTTTATGATGCAATCATAAATCAAGTTCCTCTCGAGCTAATGAGAGGGTGGGGTCCTACTATTGAAGTCTTGAAATTAACACTTAAGGAAACTACTCATCTACTTACCTTATATAGGAAGGAATGCATTCCATCTAGTGAAATTATAAGCTAAAAACAAGTAGGTAACAACAACTTTGATAGTCATTGCCTATCTGTGACATTCTTGTCTACTCATTGATTCTCACTATCTTATGCCTCATTTCCTCTTCAATGCACATGTTATATGGTGTATCGGATGATGCACCATCCTCCTCGGTCGCATCATGACATTTTTCTATATTGACCCTCGCATGGCCGAATGGGTGCCTCTTGAGGGTCATCACTTTGCTCGTCTCGACGTGAGGGTCACAACCTGCTCTCTTCATAGTATGGTTCTGGCACTGCGCAACTGACAATCAATGGGCCACATGTTGAACAATGTACAATGTTGCATGGCAGACTGGAGTGCAGACGAGTATCGAAGGGTGGTAGACGTGTATGACTTGTGAAGCAACCCAACCCAAAAAATCGAACCGCAACCCAACCAGAGGATCCAACCTGCGACCCATTGGAGTGTGACACATGTCGGCATTTGAGAATTGAAAGGAAATTACGATAACTACAAATCGAACTCAGCACACGTTGATTCCTCTTAGAAAATGAGCAGACGACATGTGGCAAGGCATGAGCAAGCCAACCCTTCCCCTAAGTGAGTCTGCGCGTGCGCGTGGGCTATGCACATGTGGTGTTCTTCAACCGCGTGTGGGATGTGTGGGATTGGTAATTTTGTTTCGTTCAACTTTGATTCGTCAAATTTTTGTTCTGATTTCGATACTAACCCTAATTTTAATTTAATTTAGACCTACCAGAGAAATTTCAAAATTTTTGGAACTCTAACATCCGAAAAACTAGCTTGAGAAGGCTCGCTTCATCCATATAAGTAATCACATAGACTTTAGGCAAGTAATTCTGGTAGGGATCACTAGGTCGTGCTAGCATACAAGCATTCCTTAATTAGGTCGTTAGAAATTGCATGTTAAAGGACTTTGGAATAGCATTTGTGGATGAGTATGTATTGTATGTATATTATGAAAAATTATTGTTATGCCCATAGGTTGAGACTTTTAGAAGCATGTTATTTTATGTATTATGCTACGCTAGGAAGAGAATATGCATGACTAGAATACAAGTTGACAATATGGATAAGTATGTTATGCATGATGTACGAAATTACTAAAATGTCCCTATGATGAGATTTGTGATGAATGTTGTTCTATATGCTTTTCATTGTGAAGGATGAGATTTTAAAAGCCTAGATACCCCTAAGAACCTAATAAATCTCCACGCACCCAAGGAACCTCATGAAAACTTACGAAACCAATGGCAGCATGAATGGTATCAATTTAAGGAATCGCCACTGTGTGTAAAAATGGGTCAAAGCCCGTAAACCCACCTTGAGAGGGGATGAGAGACTACATGAGTTAGGCAACATAAGAAACTTCGGTTATGTGTAGAAACAGATCAAGACCCATAAACCCACCTTAGAGGGGACAAGGGACTACATGAATAGGTGGCACAATAAATTGCTACTATGTGTAGAAATGAGTGAAATTTCGTAAACCCACTTTGAGAGGGGATGAAGGACTACATGAATAGGCAACACGATAAATTGCTACTATGTGTAGAAATGGATGAAGACCCGTAGTTTTTTCCTGAACACCCATCTTACTCCAATTATCTTTCTGTTTAGAGGTCGATTAACCAACTCCCAGGTTTTGTCTTTCTCGATCATCGAAAGCTCCTCCTTTGACAGGTGCATCATCAACCAAAGCATCTTGTCGTTCATCTTCAGACTCTTCTAACATGGTACCAAAGGTTAAATTGTTTGATGCATTAGAAATCTGATTCACCTTCGTTAGTTCTTCCCAATTTCATTGCTTATTTTCAGCAAAATGAACATCTCGGCTCACAATAACACGACTAGTGTGTGGTTGAATAACTCTGTAAGCTTTGAATATAGTACTATACCCAACAAAGATGTCACCTTCTACCTTTTTGTCAAGCTTATCATGCTTGACCTGTGGAATGTAAGTGAAGCAAAGACACCCAAATACTTTAAGGAACTTTAAAGAAGGTTTATAACCATACCAAACTTCAAATGGTGTCAGCTTCACAGCTTTTGTTGAAATTCTATTTTGCAAGTACATAGCAGTGTTTGCTGCTTCTCCCCAAAAACGTGGAAGATTCTTCTCATGAAGCATGCATCTCATCATCTCCATTATGAATCTATTCCTCCTTTCACTGACGTCATTCTATTGAGGAGTGTATGGTGCTGTCAATTGATGCTTAATTCCAGCCTTTTCACAAAACTTGTTTAAAGTTTCTGAAGTGTACTCCTTGCCATTATCTGATCTTATAGTCTGAATCAAGCATGCACCTTCATTCTCAATTCTGGGTTTGAATTTCCAAAACACACCTGCAACTTCTGACTTTTGTTTCAACAAGAACATCCAACACATTCTTGTTAGATCATCAATAAAAATAATATAATAAAGATTACCATTTAATGATGGTGTTCGCTGAGGACCACAAAGATCAGTATGAACCAGCTATTGTTTTTTCAAGGCTCTCCATGCCTGTTTAGGAAATGGTTGCCTATATTGCTTCCCAAAATTACAAGCACAGCAAGGAAGCCTGTCATCATCAATGTCAGCAAGTCCTTCTACCAGTTTCTTTGACTGCATCTGAAGCAAATCTTGATGATGAAAGTGTCCAAGTCTTTTGTGCCAAATCTAAGTGGCACTAGCTCTGGGATATAAAGGTCATCTGCTCTTTCTCCATTGGATTTAGAGCAAAGTTTTTTCCTTTCACTTTGACATTGAACAACTCTTTGCCACTAGCATCTCTCATCAAACACTGCTCATTCTCAAACAACACTTTATAGCCTTTTCTCTTGACTTCCAAGTGTTCACCATTGTCAATCCTTACTCTCTTGACTTCAATGTCTCTTAATTCCTCAAAAGACTCATTGTCATATGTCATGTGATTTGTGCACCCGCTATCAATCAACCAGCTCTCGCTTGATTCTTTGCCTAAGAAACAAGTGACCACAAACAATTGATCTTCTTCTTCTTGATCAACTACCTGTGCATCTACTTCTTTTACCTGTCCTTTGACTTTGCAGATCACAGCTTCATGTCCAAGTTGATTGCATTTGGAGCATTTGGCATCAGGTTTTCTCCAACACTTGTATAGTGGATGACTTTTCTTCTCACAATGGCAACAAGGTGGATAATATTTTTTGAAACCTCCTCCTTTTGTCTTCTGATAATTGGCAGATGAATCTCCATTCATCGATTGGTTTTTGAAATTTTTCTTATTTTTATATCTGCTGGTGTCTTGATGCTTAATAGGCAAGGCACCTTCAATCACC